CATTACCCCCACACAGAGAGAAAAGCAAAAATAAACTGGAAAAGAAGTAAAAATGAAACAAAAGAAGAAAGCTAAACTTCAACTTCTAATCAAAGACTTTAAAAAATTCTAGTGCCTAACTACCCTTACCCATTCCACAAAGAGATATTCAAGAAAATAACGTTAAGACATATCTTTGTCTATTCCTGGCACTTAGGTTTATTACATGTAAATTGCTTTAGTATTTCTGAATACAGGAAACATCTCCTATAGAAGCAATAATCTTGGATTATGTGCTGATAGCATAAATTGTACTTTTTTTGCTTATTTTCAAAACAATTCACTACAAAAGTTCTTTTGTTATTACTGCCAATTAGGTTCTCTCTACACAAAATAAAACTAAATTAGCCATATGTTAACCCCTACTATTTATAGATCCAAAATAATTTGCATTTGAAACTCAGTAAGCATCCACTGAATATCTACTGTCTGCAAATATATCCAATTTTAGTAGAAGGACAGTATATAAGCCTATCCAGTATTACCTTTTAAATTATTTATTTAGTCTAAGATATTTATTGAGCCCCTAGTGTGTGTATGGCAAATAAGATACAGCTTCTAAAGAAGCTTACAATTATATACAACATTTTTAGAAAGTTAAAGAGTGCTCATTTCTTTAATTCATTCTAGGTGCTATAGATACAGCAGCAAAGCAAACAAAGACACTCTTTTAGTGAAGGTTACAATCTTATAGAGGCAACAAACACTAAATAAACAAATAATATAATGTCAGGCAGTAAGTAATACAATGAAGAAAAATACAGTAAGTTAACAAGATAGACACTGATAGTAGGAGAAGTTGCAGGATCAGGTATGGTTTCACTGAGGGGAATTCTGCAGGCAAAGGGAACAGCACGTGCAGAAGGCCTGAGGAGAGGGCATCCTTTTCAAGCTGATGGATGAGGCTGATACAGAGTGAGCCAGGGGAGAATGTAGGATGAGGGCCAGAGATTAACCATGGTCAGATTAAGTAGTGCCTTGTGAGCCACATCTAGGACTTTGAATTTATAAGGGTGACAAGAAGTCATTAGAGGGTTTTGAAAAGAGGAGGGTTTATGTTTTTAAAGGAATAATCTGGCTTTTCTATGGAAAATTAATTGTAATGAAGCAAGAATGGATACAGAGAAACCAAGAAAGATACTACTGCCTTTGTTCCAGGACAGGATGATGGCAGCTCCAACCAAGATACTGGCTGTCCACAGAATGGGAAGAAGTATTTGGATTATTTAAAAAGTACAGCTAACAGGATTTGTAAATTGAATGACTGCCGTACATGAGAGGAAAAGAAGAACAGAGTAATAAGATAGGCACATGAAGTGTTTGGAGGAGTAGAAGGGTAACATTGTTTATTTCATGTGCTATCTTGGCTAGAAAGTGATGACCAGTTGTATGATCAAACACCAGATCAAACACTAGACTACTCTCCATAGTGTGGGTGGGCCTCATTCAATCAGTTGAAGGCCTTAAAAGAAAGACGGAAGTTTCCCAAAGAAGATGGGATTCTGCCTCTAGAGTCCAATTTACAAGTTCTGCTTGAGTTTCTAGCTTGCAGACTGAAGACTGCAACATCAGCTCTTACCTGAATCTTCAGCCTGTCAGCTTGTCCTACAGCTTTGGGGCTTGCCAGCCCCTATGCTGTATAAGCCAATTTCTTTAAAATGTGTGTGTGTGTATGTGTGTGTGTGTGAATAAAGAGACGATGGGGATATATGTTCTATTGGTTCTGTGTCTCTGGATAACCCTGACTAATACAGAGGGGAAAAGAGAAATAAAGTAGTGATACAGAAACAGGAAGTGTTTTAATGACATGAGATCCCTTATAATTGGAAGACTTCACAAAAGAAACTAACATTTAATTGGAGTCATAAAGGGTTCATTTATTAATCTGCTCATCAAATATTGAACTTGTCTGTCAAGATGTTGGGGATACAGTAGTTTAAAAAAAAAGAAGTAATCCCTGCCTCACGGGGCTCACATTCAATTGAGGGGAATTATGATAACAATATAAACAAGCAAATTACATCACAGAATGTGAGGATAAGGGTTATGGAGAAATACAAAGCAGAAAAGGGCCAACAGGAAGTGATAGGTGTATTAAGTAATATAAAATACCACTGTTAGGTATTTTGAAAAGACGTAACTTGAGCAGATATTTAATAGAGGCTAGAAATGAGCCACGTAGCCTTCTGGGAAAAAGAATTTAGGCAAATGAAACAAAAGCAAATGCCTTGAGGCAGAAGAACTTTGGCTTTTTCTATGAACCACAAAGGGGCCAGAGTGTCTGAAAGAGACAAAAGGAAGGGGAGAGGAGTAGGAGATGACATCAGAGAGGGGCTGTATTGTTGAGGAAGGGCCTTGAAGGCTAATGTGAGGACTTGGAATTTCGCTTTGAGTACCACGGAAAGCCAGTGATTGGAAGGTTTTGAGCAGTGGAGTGACATGATCTGACTTACCTTTAACAGAATCACTCTGGATGCTGTGTTGAGAATAATATTTAAATATTTGACTATGAAGATAAATATACACAAAGGCAATGGTAAGAGGTCCTGGAAAAACTCAGAAGTACTCTCTTATTTTCCTGTAGAGTTTTTTTTCTTCACATTTAAGTCATAATTGGAATTTATTTCTGTGTAAGGAGAAGGAAGATACTAAATCCTACATTTTTTCCATAGGGATAAGTAATTATACAAGAATAATTTTTAAAAAATCCTTATCACATAAATCAACAGAAATGCCATGTCTGTTATACACAAGATCTGGGATGTAAATATGGATACTTAACTCATTCTCTTCATTTTATCTATTTCTTCATCCATGTTCCAACAGCAAAGTCTTTTTATCACCTAGTTCATTGTCTCTGACTACAAATAAAATGAAATGTAATCTTATAACTAAAAAACAACTTTAGAAACCCATTTAGAAAAACTTAACATTGTCCTCAATTAACAGGTCAAAGAATAAGCCATAATGGAAATTATGAAATATTTATAACTGAATAGCAAAAAAGCAGTCTACTCTCAAACCTTATGAATCGCAACTAAACTGTAAATCAGGGAACATGAATAACTTTAAATAAATATATGAAAAAAGAAGAAAGAAAAAAAAGTAAAAATTTTTTCTGATTTCTTGACTTCTATTGGGTTAATTAAATATTTTTCATCTGTCATTTTCCCACTACTGGTTTGGTATTCTTTCTTTAAATAGTCATTCTTTAATTGTTAACATGTTCATTACTTAACAAAGTCAAAAGTTACTCAATACCTCGACTCTCCTCCCACCAATACAAATACCTTAGAATAGTTCAACAATAATCACTCAGCTCTCCCATCTTCTACATGATTTTTGCTTAGTATTATAGTTCCACTTTATTTAATCTTCTTCCTCCAGTATCCACATGCTTCCCTCTTGCGTACCCTTCAAGTATTTTCTCAAAAGGCACCTTTTCAAAGACATCCACAATGATCACATTTAAAATTACCATCTGCCACCATCACCTGAACTCCTTAGCCTAGCATTTTTTTCAGACAGTATCACCATTTTAAACTATACTATAGAATTTATTTATTATGCTTATCATTTATTATTATTATTTATATTATCATCATTATTATTATTTACTATCACTAGAATTCCAGAAAGGCAGGTTGCTTTGTTTTCTTTTTTATGGTTGTAATCTCAAGCACCAAGAAGAATGCCTGGTATACAGCAGACATCCAAAATATGTAAGTATACTAAAGATTATGTAACATCATTCTGACTGCTATCTTGGGAACAGACTACAAGAGGTTAAGAGTAGGGTAGGAATATCCACTAGGAAGTTATTGTAATTATTCATGAAATCAAGGAGGTGTCATTTCAAATGGTGATCAGCAGTCAAAGCCTTGCAAATATAAAGACAAAGCCAACAGAATTTTCTAAGGAACTAAATGCCTCCAAAGTTTGGGGCCTGGGTAGTCAGAAAGATGGAGCTGCCATTAGCTGAGATAGGGAGAACTGGAGGCTCAGGATTTGGGTGTGGAGTATTAGAAGTTCAGTTTGGATTATGCATGTAATGCTGAAGTCACGTATAATGCAATTCTCCAATGGCAGATAGTAGACCAGCAATACCTTCCCTTCATATTTTCCCCCATTTTATAATTTAATTTTCTGCTTTCTATTAAAAAATAATAACTAGTTGTAGCAAAGTTGTTCTTATTTTTAGTGGCAAGGTTGCCTGACCACTAGAAGTGACTAGAATATCAGTGAATGTAAATATGTGTTCACTTGAATTAAATGGCATTGTAAATAACCTCACATAATCAAAGATATTTATTTGAAAAATAGAAATACCAGAAAATGTCATGTAATGTCACAGAAAAAACGCTGGTTTATTATTGAATAACAATATAACTGACATAATGGATTTAAAACATTAAGCCAAATGAAGTTGATTTATATTGCAATGTAGGTAAAAGAAGCAATCAAATATACTCTGTCTTAGTCTTTAGCATTCCAACTAAAGCAATCCTTTATCTGAAGTTTACTAGTCACTAAATAGTCTGTTCCAAATTCAAGTTTCAAGAAGGAAAGATTTTGCCCACTTTTCCATGTGTCTCTCTAGAAGGCTGGGAAAACAAGCAAATTATTAATTAAATGTTTGACAAGGTAATGGTTAAGGGTCTCTATGTCATCGACTATACAAAATGCCTGTCCTTGCTTTTTTCCCAGTCTCTTGACGAAACGCACGAGATGATGTTGCAGCTTACTTAAAAACAATAAATTTTTGAAAGGCTATACACGGAAGCTAAGTATGTGAAACCACTGCTCTGCAGGGCTTCACACAGGCCAGCTCCATCGTCAACAACATATTAATTTTTTGTCCTTTTACATACATGTGCTGCCTGCAAGTGGCAATCTGGCTTACAATACACTGCCCTCTGCATTGAGTCCAAGTGGGTCTGCAGAAAGCATCTTGGATGGTTAAAAAAACTCTGCACCAGAAGGCGACTCCAAGTTTTTTCCTGCAGCCCCTGGTTTTGTGGTGGGCTAATCCTGAGGTCTGGCCTACCTCCCTACTTGGCGCTCAGCCTTCCCACGAATCCCTGCGCTGGGCTCGAGCCCAGGCAGGCGGATGGAGCCAACGTTACTGCCACACCGCGCCCCCCAGTCCCCTCGGCCGCCCGCACCACCCCGGCCCGGCCAGGCTGCCCCAGCTGTTACCGGTCCTTTCAGTCAGGGCATTCTCTGCGCCTCACCATGATTCTGAGGGAGAATCTGAATTGCTTATGGACCTTAGGCCTCTGTCTGGTAACCAGTACTTCGTCTCCCACAGTCCCCTCCATCACCGATCAGAAATTTATAAAACACTGCGTCGAAGCTCACAACGAAATGCGTGGCAAAGTCCAGCCCGTCGCAGCCAACATGAAATACATGGTGAGAAAGACCTCGGGCTAGGATTTTACTCCTCTGGTTCATCCTAAGGTACCTGGGCGATAAATTTCATGAACTCATTTGTATGAATTCAGTCTGGACTTCCCAGCATGCAGCTGAAAAATCACACCTTGGCTGGGTTATCTCCTCCAACGTAGTAGTAATGGAAGTGGATGAGAAAGGAAAACTTGAAGCTGTTCGTTGCCCAGACCTAGCTCCCTTTCGCTCGGGTTTGCGGGGGTGGGGATCGCTGTGGATACCGCTGGCCTAGTGACTGTGTCTGTCCTCCACATAAACAATATGCAATGGTAGCACAAAGACAACTATAACACTTCTGTTAAGAAAGTGGCAGAATGGGAGTCACAAAGTGATCGCTGGTTGAAAGCAATTCTGAAATCTTTAGGGTATATATTACGAAGACTTGCTATGCTGGGAGTCAGCAAAGTTATCTGACTAGAGGTGGTTGGAGTTTCCTCTTCCATTATTTTCTGTGGTCCTGTCTTCTCCCTTTAAAATGCCTTCCTCATCCATTATCCTCCCTGGACCAATTTGAATTGGGCACTGGGAAATACGCCATCTTTGAGGGCTGCAGTCTTCTTCTGCCCACTGAAGTTTAAGGTCCAAGAGTCATTTATAATATATTGCATTCACTTTTCACAACAATTTTCACAAGTTTACAATATCTTTGGGAATGTATCTCTGTCAAAAACTCTAAAGGTCTTTCAGCTGTATGCCTCCAGTCAGTTCCAAGCACCAATACCCACGGTTAAAGTATAGTTTGGAGAAACTTTCAAGTCTTTATTTCTTTGTTTCCTCACCTTGGTGCTTTTCTTTTTCCTCTTAATGCCAGTTAGCTTGAAACATGAGTTTTGGGAAAATGGGTACACTCTTAAACTGTTGGATTTGCTGAGGCAATTTTTAGTCAATTAACAGGATTTCCTTGGAGTTGCATACTTCATCTCCTCTGTGCCCTAAGGTTTTTTAATCATATGAAAGTTTTACATTTGTCTCTCAGAGCCTTTTAAAAGTCTTACTATATGCTATGCAGAAGGCAGCCCCACATTTCTTGATTCTCTTTCTACTTCCAAACTGTCCAGTGCTTTACTTTTATAATATCTTGTTGAACACACCCTACAGCCAACAAATAATGTTAATGTTCTGTTTTCCAACCTCTGCTGAGAGCTTCAAGTTCAATGGATTCGTATCTGCCTCCTGAGAAATAGGTCACATTTTTTCACTTATTTGGGCTCTGAATCCCGTAGCTTGCCATCATTTCTCTGAAGTCAGTTTCCTCACTGCTTGCCAACTAACTGTTAAACTCTACCACGTGGTTCAGGCAAGCTTGCCACTAACATTAGTGGGCTAGATGAAGAATAAAAATGCAAGCCCACATATAATCTCATTGTTTGCTCAATGATTAAATCTTTGTTTGGTAAAGAATATGTGGTTTCAGGGATTTCATCCCATCTGCTCAGATTTGTATTTGATCAGAATAATTTTGCTTATTTTCACAGATGTTATTAACTAATTTTTCATTTCCTCTAAAATAATCGAAACTGTCCATTCAAATTAAAAGGCAAAGTTAAAATGGATGGGTATCAATTTTAAGTATTTTAAATATTTCTTAATTTTTTGGAAAATTTGTCTTCTTAAATTTTTTTATAAATATAAGATTATTCACCATTCTAGTGCTCATGTCCACCTAGTGGCCAATGTAAAGAACTGATGTCAGGCTTCATACTCAGGTAACATACAGATCTACATTTACCCCTATTTAACAGTAATGTAGATTGTTACCATTGCAAAATGTCTCCCTTACCCCGAAATGGGAACAAGAAAGTGAAGTGAGGAAACAGATCTCTAGTAGTACTGCTAAACAATATTATATTATGCCTGAAATCTGTTGCTTTCATGCTGAAACAAAAGATGTGACAAGTTGATCTTTTTCTCTTACCCTAAGAGCTTCCGTTGTTCAAATCTTTCTTGGACTCTGATGCAGTGTCTGTCTCCAGTGTCATCAGCAACAATATTCACAAGCCTTTTTACCACGCAGATATAGATGCCCTTTGCTTTAAAAACATGTGGCAAAAGATGCAGACATTCAGTGCTGTGGGTCACACTGAACCCATGCTAATGTTAGAATGCAGAGAAGCTTTCATTTAATAATAAAGTGTGTGTGTGTGTGTGTGTGTGTGTGTGTGTGTAACATGAGATGTCCTATCCAGTCTGGGGTCAAAGAAAGGATCCTTCCTACCTAGGTCTCAGATGGGATAAGTTTAGGTTTTCATTATGGCTCTACACCCTACTCCCAGCAGTAAGTTCTATAAGAGGTTAGGCTGGGCTCTGGTTTGAAATACACCTTTAAGTCTCAGTGGCTTAACAAAACAAAGTTTAATTTCATACTTACACAGGTTGTAGAGAAAATAAGTTAGGATTAAACCTCTCTAGCTGGGGCAAAGGAGGGCCTTCAACCTCAGCTGGCTTGCTGACAGGCAGTTTAACAAGAGCTCCCAAAGTCATTCATCACATAATTGCTTTACCAATGTGAAGAATAAGAGGATATTTACTGACCCCTTTGCTATTCTAAAGTAGGAGGTTTAGCATACTTTTATTTTCTTCTCATCTCCATTTTTTGTTGAATTAATGACTTTTGTATTCAGATTGTTGTTGTTCTTAATTGCAAGTGTTTGTTATCCTGGTGGTAACTAGTTTTTAAGATAAATTTTGGTGAGGTGGAAACCCTGGAACCACAGTACACTGTTGGTAGGAATGTACAATTGTGCTGCAGCTATGGAAAACTGTGGAGGTTCCTAAAGAAATTAAAAAATAGAACTATCATATGATCCAAAAATCCCACTTCTGGATGTCTATCCAAAAAAATTAAAATTAGTATGTTGAAGAGATAGCTGCCTCCCACATTCATTGCAGCACTATTCACAATAGCCAAGATACAGAAACAACCCAAGGCTCTATCAACAGATGACTGGGAAAAGAAAATGTTGTATACACATACAACAGAATATTACTCAGCCTTAAACAAGAATGAAATAATGCCATTTGCAGCAACAAGGATGGACCTTGAGTATCATACCAAGTGAAGTAAGTCAGACAAAGACAGACAAATATCATGATATCAGTTATACATGGAATCTAAACTATGATACAAAGAAACTTATTTGTGAAACAGAAATAGGCTCACAGATATAGAAAACAAATTTATGATTAGCAAATGGGAAAGTGGGAGGTTGGAGGGATAAAATTAGGAGTTTAGGATTAACATATACACACCACTATGTATAAAATAGATAAGCAAACAACAAGGACCTATTATAGAGCACAGGGAACTATACTCAGTATCTTGTAATAACCTATAATGGAAAAGAATCTGAAAAAGAATAGCTATATATATTTATGCATAACTGAATCACTTTGCTGTACACCTAAAACACTGTAAATCAACTATATTTAGATAATTTTTTAAAAAAGAAAGAAAAAAGAATGAGTGGGGAGCCTGGACAGCCCAGACTTTTTGTCCACCAACCAGTGATAAATAAGACTTCCTACCCTGGGGCAGTGTCAGTGAAGACCTGCTGTAACAGGAGGACTGATTAAGATTTAGAATCTCATAATATAAAACTCAAAATGTCATGTATACAATAAAAAATCACTCACATACCAAGAACCAGGAAGATCTCAGCATGAATGAGAACTGACCACAGCTGCCAACACCCAAATAACACAGATGTGAGGATCATCTGACAAGGATTTGAAAGTAGTCATCATAAAAATGCTTCAAGGAGCGATTTTTAAAAGGCTTAAAAGAAATGAAAACACAAAGTCTCAGCAAGGAAATCAAAGTTACAGATTCCAATGGAAATTTTACAGCTGAAAAATAGAATAACCAAAATTAAAAACTCACTAGATGGGCTGAGTAGTTGAATGAATCTGACAAATGGAAAAAGTCAATGAACTTGAAAATAGAACAGTAGGAATTACCAAATCTGAGCAACAGAGAGAAAGTGGACTGAAAAAAAAAAAAACACAACAAAAAACCATTAGGGCTCTATGGGACAACATAGATAACATTATGATAACAAAGTATCTATTAGATATTTCATGTCCTTGGAGT